CCCCGATCTGCTGCCACGTCCACTTCCTCTACCATCTGTGGTTCTCTGGGATTTGGAAGTCTCCACCATCACTATCTGCCTTCTGGCGGGCCTACCCGCCACCTTCGCTTGTTACGCCTCCCGTCGCCATCTGTCACAACCCTCGCCGCCTTGCCCATGACATCAACAGAGTTCACCATCCCCTTGAATTCCCTATCTGGTCTCGCCAGCTTCCATTGCACGACATCAAAATAAGGGCGCTCGTATGTCAATGGAAGGCTCTACTCCCTCCGCTCCGATCTTTCCATCGTTCAATACATATGCTCCCCTGATCGAAGGTGGAAGTCTCTAATTTGTTTTGCTTGATCGATCAAACTGTAGAAACGCCTCTCGCACTCGTCATTATCCCTCTTTGAAAGTCCTTGCTCCACCATTTTAGACACCACCCAGTCATACTTTGCACACTTCGGCCTCATTTTCTCCCGACCCCGTCTGGCCTGCTGCATTGTGTCCTTTTCGAACATCGACCGTAGCAGTGCATCGTTTCATCGAAACACCAATAAGCACCTCGAACCCGGGTCTTCTCTGCACCATCCCCACGACGGCCACCTTTACAGCCAACTGCGGTTCGCTGCGCTGTATCTGCGACACGAGGAGTGCTGTCAGCTGGTGGCGCAATGTCCTCCCCTGTTGTCACGGTGGGAGTTCCTCGTCGTTGACTCGGCGTTGAGTGCCAGCTATGTCTGGCGCTCCTCCACTCCATCCTTCACCCATACTGCTGTCCGTGTATCCCTCGGCTTGCTCAAGCAGCTCTTCAAAAGAAGGTGATGCGCCCTTCATCGACGTGGATGACATGGAAGCCGATCTTGAATGTCCCCCCATCATTGTATGAGGAACGTGAATGTCCCGCATGCAAGGCTGCACACCGCCTATTGTGTGAGGCGGACTTCCTACCTAACGACTGCCATCGTTGACCAAATGGCATGTGAGGTGCATACATCCCGGTCGTGTGGTGTACAGATTGCATGCCATCCCCATGTTCCCCATGACCGCCGACATGCAGTCCTGCCATGGTGTCACGAGGCATGGCCCACGTCGGTTGTGCATGTGCAGCTGTGGAACCAACAGTCGTTGCACGTTGGCTGAAATAGAATGATCCGCCACTGCCCTGCCCACGAATAGACCTCTGCCCGGCTGACTGTGACGATGGGCTGAAGACGTTGCCAAGCGACGGGTTCAGCCCTTTGAAGGTAGGCAATGGAGGTAAGCCATTGGGCATTGGCAAAGGGCTGCGGACAGCACCTCCCCCCCGTCCCGTTGCAAACGTGGGAAGGCCACAAGGGTTGCTTGGCTGGACATCGGGCATGGTGGAAGCAGCAGACAGCCTTGCGGATGACGATGGTGAACGGTGACTGCTCTGCTGTTGCATGCTGTCCATACCTGAGGTCGAAGCTGGACGCGCTTCTCTGTTGTCCACAGAGAGAACAAATTGGCACCTGTGTTGTCCAGTTCGTCATTCGCAAGCTGGAAAGATATGGAGGGCTCCCCTTCGTGTCCGATGAACTACCGTCGAAAAAAAATTGGTCATCACCCGTCTTCAAGTAGTGAAAAAGGTAAACACTTGTTGGTCGGCGCAGCAGTGGACGCACAGCATAGAGCCGTTCACTGAGAGCACGAACAGACACGCCAGAATCATAGATAAGGTTCACTTTTTCACCATCCACGGTGTGCGTATGTTCGCACTAGTCTCCCCGTTGCCCAAACGCGCCTCCGCTTTTCGGAAAGGAACTGGCCTCGGGGGTCCCCTTTCCCTATGGGACGTTGTCGGTCCCGACACGTCGCACAGGCATGCAGACCATGGACATTCCACCATCAGGCCAACGAACAACTACAAAAGAAAAGAAAAGAAAAGAAAAGAAAAATGTTCAGCTTTTTCGCGGGGGGGTAGGGGTCCGGCACTTTTGGAAAACACCTCACTCGAATGCGGCGTCAGTCGCGCTCGACTCGCCACACAAGATGTCACCCTGAAAAAGGGTCTGTCGTTTCAGTGTGACCATGGATCCCGAAAAGTAGTGGGATCCGCAAAAACTCTTAAGAATTCATTCCCTACAAAATGTCGGATCAGATCGTAACTGTCGGTCGTTCCTTTCTCTCTATACTACTAAAGAAAACAGTGGGTCTCGCGTGACGCCCCACGCAAGACCCTGTTCCCAGTTTGGGGAACTCGGTAGGAAGGAGGCACGACAGCCAGAGGCGGAAAACGATGGTCCCAAGCGAAAGTATGCGGCGAAATGACCTGGGCAGCGGTCGGTGTCAGTCAGTGGCATGGTGTCGGTTGGTGGCAAAGGGGAACGGGCCTACAAATGGCAAGCAGAGCGGTGGCGAGCGGACAATGGCAGGTGGACACGCTCAACAGCGGACGCGCGCGGGCGCTCCAGAGGGGGGAGCACGGGGGGAGAGAGAGAGAGAGAGAAAAAAGAAAGAAAGAAAAGAGAGCGAAAAGAGCAAAAAGGCAAGGACACAGAACGAGGAAGATCACAACCGATTCACCCAAGTCAAAAAACCATTCATATAAACTCCCACACCATAACCTCTCAATGTATGCTTCTCGCCCCTACGCGTTTTGTCACCAGCACACTAAGTGACTCATCAGGAGGCTTCACCACCTTCCTCTTTTGAACCCRGGATGCGACTTACCCAGTGCTTCCTCCTTAAATACTCCTTGCGCGTTTCCTACCGTACCTACACTACCCTCACTCAGACACACCCTCTCCCCTCCTATTCCTTTCTCTCTCCATATGGTACACCCGATCTCCCCTTCGACTCGTCCTACCCAACTCTCTTAGTTCTCGCTCCTCTCTTTTTTTCCTCCTCTCCCTTAATCTTCTCCTTTCCTATCCAGATTCATTCCCCTTCCCCCTTTTTTTTCCGACACGAATCACTTCCTAAATCAATCCGATATTGAGCTATCCCCGTTGCCTTTTCACTCACCTTTACTCCGCGTTTTTCTCTGCTTCGTCGATGCTTTCCATTTTTCACTCAGCTCGGCAACCCCCGCCTTCTGCAAACCGAATGCAGCATCCGTTCCTGTTCCCCTTCCAACCCAACCTTAACTCGATCCGGTGGATATACTCCCTTGTTAGGATCGTTCCTCCTTCTCCCTTCCCTTACCGATTCGCCCCCTCTTCCCGATTT